GGCGGGTCTGTGACCACACACAGCAGCCGGTCAGCAGAGTGGAGGGGTAGCCCTGTGTTAAAGTCAGGGGATAGGAGAGTACTCTAAGCTACCTCTGAGTGCTGCACTAGGCCTACCCCTTTCTATTTATTTAATCTTTCATGATATTGTGTTAAGTTTTGAGTGAACGTTTCTACAGCAACCCAAACACCTCTGTTCTGCATACTAGCAACCCTCCAGGACAGAGTCGAATGGCCCTCTAGGGTTTCAGAGGGGTCAGTCTTGACAGGAGCAGACAGCTTCATCCCTCCCACATGGAGCTGCTGGTGGGTTCAAACCGCTGACCTTACGGTGTGCAGTGAGCGCTTAACCACCACATCACTGAGGCGCCTTACACAGAAGTAAAAATGTTCCCATGTAATACTTTCAATACAGACATTAGACCTTATCTTAATAAGCCAGGGCTACTGGAAGAAACACATGCAGGTCATATAATTCTCTTAACTCCACCAGCCACACACCACACCCGCGAATGACAACAGCCCAAAGTGTAAGAAGCTGATGGAACCCTTACCTGCCTGTCGGGAGGGCAGCGCCAGGGCAGGTTGACTCTCCAGGAGGGGACATGGGGCCCTCCTCAGAGCCTAGCCACCCCTCTGGGCTGTCCCCACCCTCCTCTGATGGTCCCTGCACCCCCATGGGGGTGAGGGCTTCCTCGGGAGCCGGCTGCCTGCCTGCCGAGCCCAGGGGCAGCAGAAATAAGCAGGGCGGAGCAGCAGGCGGACTCAGATGTTACAGAAGCCAGGAGAGTGCGAGCAGGCGTGATACAAAGTATCTGTTGTCACCGCAGGCGATTTCAAACCCCCCTTTAGAAACATTTTCAAAGCCAGGGTTAAGGGCCACAGAAGACAGACAATTCTGCTAGTTGTCAAAACACTGGCTGGCGGGGCAGTAGCGTGAATCCTTGGGCATCTGAAAATTCCCGTCTACTCACACAGACTGGCATGAGGCACCCAGGTGTGTTTTACTCGAGGCTGATTTTCAGGAGGAAAGAGACACTGCCACCAGTGTGGTTTGCTACGCCTCCCAGCGCCACGCACAGGGGACACCTCCAGACACAGACCCGGCCCTCTCACAACCTCGCGGCCGGCCGAGCGGCGTGTCAGCAGAACGCTGTGAGCATTTCACAAGCTGCAGGCGGTGGGGGTGGGGGCAGAGAGGGAGCGGGAGCCAGCAGAATGCAGGGACATCGGCAAGTGCTGCTCGGCTCCCTATAAACAGCAGCCACACAGTGAACACCTTGGAGGAGGAGGAGGAGGGAGGGCTTCTTTAGAGGACAGCAAAGGAGCTCGTGAGTGGGAGGAGACAAGTTAGAAAAGACAGCGACAAGCACCACCTACAATCGTTAGGTGCCTTTGTGGTAGTTACATAATCTATTGTCAATTTGAGACTGACGAGTGAAGGGGTGGAGTTTGGCCTGTCAATCACGTGGCAGTGGTGACCTCATTTGGATGCACTAAGGAGATAAATAGCTTGTTGGGGACGGGACACTCACTCAGTCCCTGGGAGACATTCTTGTTGACAAGCCACATGTGGCAGCTAGAGCCTGGAGCTGGAGGAGCCACGTGGAAACCCCTGCCAGCGCTGAGATGCTTACAATGCTACTGGATCCATAAGACTTTCCACCCATGGCCTGTGATCTTCCTGCATCCACCGTCATTGCATGTGTTTAGTGAGTCTGAAGAGGATTGGTAAGACATATGGGATAATACTGGACTTAGGGACTTGCTCTGGACTGGGCTGGGATGTTTCTTAATATTCAATTACTCTTGTATATAAAGCTCTTTCTTATACACGCATGACTATCTCCCTGGATTTGCTTCTCTTGTCCACCCAGACTAACACAGCAGTCCAGTCAGGTCCAACTCAGAGTGAGCCCGGTCCTGTGCCCTCCTCTCCACTGCCGTGATGGCCGTGCACCTCACGAGGGTCTTCCCTCCTTCGCTGACCCTCAAAGGATACCCCTTTTTCCAGGGACTGGGACCTCCTGAGACTTTCTTAGTCTGAAACAATCCATTGAGCTCATTCAGCTTCTCTCATCTCAAAATGACATTTCCCGAGTGATATATATGTATGTCTATCTATCACTCGGTTTTCGGTTGATGGGGGGGGGGAGGACAGACTTATGGGACATGGAACAGAACCTGGAGTCACTGGGTGGTTAACCTGCAGACAGTTATGTGCTTGGCTGCTAACCGAAAAGGCTAAAGGTTCAAGTCCACCCAGGAGCACTTCAGAAGAGAGGCCTGGCGATCTGCTTTCAAAAAACCAGCCAGTGTGAAACCTGTGGGGGCCATCGTGAGCCGGAACGCAGGGGAGGGTGGCTGGCGACTAGCTAAACCAGCGGTTCTCAACCTGTGGTCACCAACGACCCTTTCGCAGGGGCCACCCAGCTCATAACAGTAGCACAATTATAGTTATGAAGTAGGAATGAAAATAATGTGGTTGCTAAATGATTGCTGAATTATGTTGTGGGGGTCACCACCACATGAAGAACTGTATTAAAGGGTGGCGGCATTAGGAAGGTGGAGAACCACTGGGCTAAACAGAAGCCGAGGCCCGGCCTTCGTTTACCTTGGCCGTGATTTGAAACTCCTCATGTTCCTTCAGCAGCTCCTGGGTGTGCTGTATGCTGGAACCTGTGGACGTGTGCGTGGACAGGTAGAACTCCCCGCTGTCATGGATCCACTCCAAAGCCTGCAGGGAGGGGGGACGAGAGAGGCTGCTCAGGGGGTAACTCTCCTTCCCACCGGGCAGTCCCAGTGTCCGCGTGCCCCACTGCAGTGGGAAACCACAAGCCGAGGCTGGCCACGCTGAGCACTCTCTCTCAGGGGGAGGCCAAACTTCGGAAAGCCAGCATCCAAATCCCAACCTCATAAAAACGGGACCTGCTGGAACGTTCTATTCAGGTCCCTGGTGTAACAATCACAAGCTGTTCATGTGTTGTTCATAACTGTGCACGGAATGGCACAACTACAGGAAAGAAGCCTGAACAGAAGGCTCCTCTGTAAGGAATACTGAGGAGGGCGGGGTGCCAGGTGCTCACACCCGCACGCTGTGACCTCTACAGACATCCACAGCACAGTCTAGGTCCCTCCGGAATGCTCTCCCTCCGTCAACGGGAAGAGCGAGCACGACACATTCTGGATTTTGATTGCTGGATGTTCCGGCTTTCTCTTGATGTCCCTGTGCTCAGGGGGCCCAGGAACAAGCTCTCCGGGGACTCCAGAGATGACCACGTGTGTCCACACTCTGCGTGGACACACGGGACTAGTGACACAAACCAGCTCAGCGGCAGGAGAAAGGGCCACACCAGGAGAGGAGGTGCCGCTGGGCTCAGATTGTGCCAGAACCGAAGCCCTAAGTCGTACATTCTCTCGTGAGTTCAGATCCGAGCTGTTTTCTTGCATTTTTATGTTATCTGAAGTGAAAGGAAACTTAGTCATAATTTTTTTTAAAAAATCCTGGCTCATAGTGACCTTATAAGGTAGAACTGCCCTGTGAGTTTCCAAAACTGTAACTCTTTATGGGAGTAGAAAGTCCCAGGAGCAGCTAGTGGTTTTGAACTGATCTTACAGTTAGCAGCCCAATGAGTAACCACTAGGCCGCCGGGGCTCCTAAACTACAAACATGTAAAAAGGCAATGCTATGGCGCACAGGCGTAACAAGGGGCACGTTTTCTGCCCGCCCTTCGAAAGCTCAGGGTCTTCTTTGGAGAATGCACTGTTTGTGGAGTCTCGGTGACACACGACGAGGAGCGACGTCCCAGCGGAATAACAGTTACTGGCTAAGCCTGGTGCAGGCTTGGCAACGGCGGCAAACCTGGCAGGAACATGCTTCTAGCATCCTCCTTATCCATTCTCAGAGCACGCTGTCCCCTAGCATCTTCTGTGCAGGCCGCTGCACTGAGTGAGGCTCGGAGTTAGACTGCCTCCACAGATCAGGGCACAGGTCACCCCGAATGCACACTCACTGCCACCGAGGCGATGCCGACTCACAGGGACCCTAAAGGGCAGGGCAGAATTGCCCCTGTGGGTTTCTGAGACTAATTCTTTATGGGAGTAGAAAGTCTTTATGTCTCTCTCCCAGGGGCAGGGAGAGAGAGCAAAACCTCATTTTATTGTGTTTCGCAGAGATATACACATTCTAGGCGTGGAGAAACCCTGTGTGTTGAGCAAGTCTAGTGGCACCATTTGCCCACCAGCAGGTGCTCACTCCGTGTCTGTGAGGCCTTTGCACTGTCCCAACGCCCCCTTCCTAGCTGACGGGCCGTGTGCACAGGACTTTTACTGGGGAGCCGAAAGATTCCAGTGACCGCTTTAAGGAGACACTCGCTTTATGGTCACGGAGCCCGCAGCATCTCTGAGGCCAGCGGGACAGACGCAGGGACAAATGAGAGAGCCGGGGACCTCCCTCAGTAAGAGGGTCACAGGAGGTGAGGCTGTGCTGGGCCCCACAGCCTGGCAGACAGCAGCAGTCCTGGGCTGACCCAGCTTGGCCCCTGAGAAGGCGGCCGGAACTCAGGGTGAGGGCCACAGGTGAGGCAGGAGGGCTCGGGCCTCAAGGTCACAGGTGGCTGTGGTGTTGGAAATAGGGTCGGAACACAAGGAAAGTCAAAGGCTGTGCCAGGCTGGGGCTCTGGCCGCAGAGCTGAGGGTGGAGCTCCAGCACCTCTTGGGTCCAGTGGGGGAGTGACTGTGGGAGGCTGGGGATGGGGGAAGACACGCCCAGCGCTCCCTGAGGAAGGGGGGCTGGGGGGTGCACAGGGACAGGAATCTTGAGTTCAGCTTGGCCACAGGGCCAGCTGGGGATCAGTAATGAGGAGACATACCGGGAGGTCAGGCCTGGGAGGTGCCCATGGGCAATCAGCAGAAGGAGAAGCCTGAGAGAGCTCTGGAGATAAGATGGCAGAGACAACTGGGTGTGGGGAGGAGCATCCAGGAGGAAGCAGAACAGGGAAGCAGCTTGGGGAGTACCCCTCACCCGTTCACCGCAGAGCGTCAGAGAAATAAGCTGGTGACTGCACTGATCTACCACAGCTGTGACTCAAGACTGACCACCCCCTCCTCCCGCCCCCTCCAACATCGAGGGTACTGGTTCTGCTTCAACAGGCCCTCGTCAGCACCAGCACCAACTCACTGGACCTTCCAGAAGGCCAACAACATGTTCCGGGGTCTTTCTCAGTTAAGAGAAGGGCTGGCAACTTTGGTGTCTCTCTGTTTGAAAGAGTCTTTGTGATATCGGAGACAATAGCATGTGACACAGACCGGAGACAAAAATCCCAACGGCTGCCATCAAGTTGATTCCGACTCACAGACAGGACAGACAGACAGAACTGCTCTGGACCGCTTCCGGGGCTGTCAGTCTCAATGGCAGTAGACAGCCTCATCTTTCTCCTGGGGATCAGCTGGTGGATTTGAACTGCTGACCCTGTGATGAGCAGGCTCATCTGTAACCCACTCTGCCACCATAGAAACAAAACTTTAATTCTGAAACACGGTTCAGCTGTCTAAAGAACTAAGAAATGCAATCCAGACTCTGATTTGTCGCCTGCCTCACTGCTGGGAACTTGGCCATTATACTAGGACGTCTCGTGAGGTCAGCCGGGAGAAAGGCCGAGACAGAGGGCAGACCCGGTGAAGAACCCATGGCCATCAAGTCAATTCTGACTCATAGCGACCCTATACAACAGAGTGAACTGCTCCTGTGGGTTTTTCGTGACTGTCTATGGGAGTAGAGAAACCCACCTCTCTCTCTTGGAGCTGGCTGGTGGGCTCAAACTGCGGACCTTGTGGATTGGAGGCTAAGGGAGAACACTATGCCCGAAGGCTCCTTCTTAGGGATACGGTCAAAGATACTAATGATCCTAGAGCTTGAGACAGAGTCCTTCACCCCCAAGTGTCTGCTTCTGAGAACACAGCAGGCCCCTTTATGCCAAAATGCCTATGTGCGGGGTGCCCACTGTCTTTTCTCTAAATGGATCACCTCAGTCATGTCTCCCCGCTTGGCCAAATGTATGCACATGGTTGGACTGTAATGAATTATTAAAAACTCTGTCCCTTATTTCTTAGCTCAATGTATCAGAAAAACAAAACTTTGCCCTCGGACATAAATGGAGTGATGCCCACAACCACCCCCTGCAGCACTGACACAGGGTGGAGGGCAGACTTTCACCCAGTTTAAAAGCAGCCTCCAGTCAACACAGGTGCTTTGCTGGTTGAGATGGGTGAAAGCTGTAGGGCACACCCCGTCTCGGAGGGTCAAAGTCACTCTGCGGGTGGCCCTGGGGTTTCTCCTTCACTGCATTATACTCATTAATACATGGGAACTTCTGAACAGAGAGAGAGAGTTTCAACACCATCGATGGGGGCATACTGGAAGCTGCCACTCTGATCTGCAGGCCCAGGTGGGGGGTAGGGCAGGGGTGGGGGTCACGCACACAGAGGCTGACCTGCTTGGCACTTCTCTCGAAGACCACATACTGTTGGCACTGGTCCAGCCGCCTCTTTCTCATGGTCCAGTAGTGCAACACCCTGTTTTCCCGCTGGAAGAGTTCGTTCAAGATATCTGAGGGGACAAGGAGAGAGAGGCGCGTCGGTGCTTGCCATGAGCAGTCAGGGAGACAGCCAGCCGTTACTGGCTCGCAAAATCTTGCTCGCTCTCACGGAAAAGCTCAGGTGGGAATGCCGACGGAGCCACAGTGGGTGAAAAGCTGGCCTTTCAAACGCGCCCACTGGCGCCACAGCAGGAGACCTGGAGGTCTGCTCCCCACAAAGGGGACAGAGGAGCAGCCCTACTCGGAACCACGGGGTCACTCTGGGTTGAGCGGAAGGCACCCACCGACAGTGACTGCCGCCGAGACAGAACCTCAGACAGAGCCACACTCTTCTCCCGCTGTGCTGGCCAGAGGCATGCTGACCAGCCCCTGCCACAGGTGCCATCTACCAGTGAGATGGCTGGAAACCTACCAGGGTGTAGTCTGATGCCTCCAGTTGCCATAAAAACCCTCCAGTCGATGCCGACTCATAGTGACCAGACAGGACCGGGGAGAGCTGCCCCTGGGGGTTTCCGAGACTGTCATTCTAAGGCCCCACCTTTCCTCCACGGAGCTGCTGGTGGTTTCAAACTGCTGACCTTGGGATTAGCAGCCCACTGCATGACTACTATGATCTCAGGGCTCTGTTTCATTCTACTGGAAGCACCCAGTAGAATGGCGCTAACTCGGTGGCAACTAACAACATTATCTTTCCTGACTTTCCCTGAGATATTTACTTAGGTATGCACATGCATTCCTTCCATCCCCATTGGATGCTTTCTGCACCGCTCAATATTTTGCCTATGAAATCTTCAATACTGAAACTCTGGGCTTAAATTTTTTTCTTCATTTCTTTCGGCTTGCCAATGCGGGGCATATTCTTTTAATGACTTAGTGCATAAAGTGAGTAAAACGACTTCTCGGTACACAAAGGGCACACTTTACAGCAAGAATAACTGCAAACCACTCCTTGGCTTGATTTCTGGAA